ATCTTCACAGTAGACCTTTTATAACAGGTTTGTTTACTCAAAATTTTGACCCTTTGTGTGGGAGGTACTATAAGAAATGGTCCGATTTCTACCATCTTCATATCAGATCTTGTGTTGATAGAAATATTGACATGTACCAAGTCTGAATGTAATCGGATGTTAATTTCGCGTTTTATGAGCTTCATGGATATTCAAATTGTTGGCCCTTTGTGGGGGAGATACCAGAAGCAGTGGGCCGATGTATTCCACCTTCACACAAGACCTTGAGTTAATAAAAACTCTCTTACATCATATTGTATGAGAGTTGTAATTATTTAAAATTTTGACCCTTTGTGGGGGAGGTACCAGAAGGAGTGAACCGATATTGTCCATTTTCGCACCATACCTAGCACTGACGTAAATATTAAGATTTGCAAAGTTGCAGCAAAATTATTGCTTCACTTTCTGTGCAAAAAATATATTTTTTGAAAATGTCGACCTTTTGTGGGGGAGGTACCAGAAGGAGTGGACCGATATTGCCCATCACCGAACTCGATCTAAGTTTGACAAAAATATTACGATGTACCAAGTTTGGATCAAATCGGATACTCTCTTCGAGAGTTATCGTGCGCACCAGCCAGCCAGACAGACGGACGGACGGACATCGCTAGATCGACTCCAAATGTTTTGAAACGGATTTGGTCCAAGGGTTTAAAACCGTTATTTCGACTAGGTACGGACCGTATCAAATTATATATACCCTCTGTAGCCATATGGCTGAGAATATAATTATGGATGTTTAAATTTAAAGAACGATGACACATAACTGATCGAAGAACTATTTCCTTACAATACCTTTAACGAAAGGAGCTCTGCCCAATGTAAACTACATATTGTACCAGATTTATTATATAAATAATAATAACAAAAACACAGATGTTTATTCATAGACTTTTGAGTATTTTTTTTGCATTTTTCTTTTAAATGTTGGGTTTTTCATAGCTCAGTTGCTAATTTCTATTTCTTGCCGAATTCGTAGTCATATTTAAAATTTCATTAGTGTTTACATTCTCCGTGTTCCCTTTTTCTTGCTCTTTCTCTCTCCTGAATGCTCCCTCTCTATCAGGCTCGCCTTGTAATAATGTTATTGAGAATTTTTTTTGTTCTGAATTGCTCATTAACATGAAAATTTAATCATAAAATGCTTGTTCTTTTTCAAATTCCTTGGGGAGTTCCTTCGGTTCGTTAATAACCCTGCTGCTCATTTGTTTTCCTTGGGTTTTATTTCTCGCCCTTTGCTGTTTGTTGTTGCTGTTTTGGTCAGCAATGAAGATTGTAACCATTGATAGTGTCAGAGTTTAGTGTTTTGATCTTCCTAACCAAAACAAAAAACACACAAACAAACATAATAAGTTTGTCACCTCAGCCAGATTAGCCATTGTTGTGTGGGGATGGTTGGTTGGTCAAATGAGAAGATCTTTTGGTGAGAGTAGAAATGATATTTTCTTTTTTTCTCAGCTTAAGAGAAATTTGGTTAGGAATTTCTTTATTTTCTTCGGTGTCGGTGTCCGTCCGTCCGCCCAATTGACCATAATTTAGGGTTTTGACATCATAATGTGTTATCAATGAGTAAATTATGTTTTCGTGTTTGTAGCTCTTTTCATTCGAGTCTTTTTTTATTGAAATGTTCCTACGATAGAGTTAATCGCTTTTGTCTCTTTTTGTTAAATACAGTGGAAACCTTTTTTCCACCTTTGTTGTTGGTATGCATTTATGCATTGTCAACGTGTGAGGTCTTTGGTTTTGGGAGGCCCAAGGAATATTTAGTCAGATGACTTTAACACGTTTTGATAAATTTATTAACGAAATGTTTTTATTTGGTTTGATTGGGGTTTTTTGAATGTGGCAAAGAGGGGAAAGAGTGGGGAGGGAATACTTGGTCACTTGACGTTTTTTGTTTGTTATCACGTCTTCAAAATTAAGAAACATTTCTCTGTACGATTACATCTACATCTTCATAGTTTGTGTTAGACAATCTCCGGATGGTCTAATGTTTGGCAAGACAGCCGCCTGATTGATGTATCAATCAAATGTGTGTCCATTGATACATTATATCATAGTTCTCCATTTAGCTATTCGTATTTGTTTATAATTGGTGATGATTTCTTTGTCGCCGCTTAGTCAGGCGGTGTGATCAAAGGTGTAGCAAAAAGCTTTTGATTTTGAAACTCATCTTTAATGCGCTGTATAACATTGTATTTGATCAACTTATACACTTTGAAAAATTGTAAATGAGTATGACTGGACTAATAACTTTTTAGAATTTTGATTAATAGCATGAATTTCCTTCTGTATAGTTAACTTTTTAGGGAGTGGGAATTGGGATCCCTTCACAATGTTTGATTATTTAAATATATTTTGACTTTTGTTATGATTATTCAAATTGTGGACTCTCCATGGAGTAGGTTCCGAAGCTATGGACCAATATAGTCCATTTCGTATCGGACCTATATAAAATGTATAAAACAATTGCGACGTGCCTGGTTTGGGCTATATTGGTTACTTCCCCCTATTTATTTGAGATATGTGATAATTTGTAGAAAATGTGCGTGAATTACCAGATATAGTCGAGCGAAGTATTCCATGTCCATACTTCATCAAATACAGATAAATATATTGATATGGGAAAATTTACAAGAATATCGAACATTTGTATCCAATTCTATGCGAAATCATAAATTTCGATAAATCACATATTCATCTCAGGTTTATGATTGAGATGATGTAGCAAGTTGTAAAGAGTCGCTGACTTGTCTCGTAAGTTATGACAAATAAATGTATTGAAAAGCGTGACCCTTTGTGGGTGAGGTACCAGAAGGGGTTCGCAGATATATATCATCTTCACGACAGATCTTGGGCTAGTAGAAGTATTGAAATGTGTGAAGTTTATAAAGAATCAAATGCTTATTTTGCATTTTATGAGCATTTTTGTTATTCAAAATGTTGACCTCTTTGTGGGGGAGGTACCAGAAGGAAGAAGTGGGCCAATATATCCCATCTTCACATAAGATCTTTTGCTAATAAAAATATTGGGATGTTTGAAATTTGAAGAGAATCAGACGTTTATTTCGTATTTTAAGAGAGTTAGAATTATTCAAAAATTTTGAACCGTTGGGGGCGTGGTACCAGAAGGAGTAGACCGATATCTATCATCTTCACACCTGATATTGGGTTGAAAAAATATTGAGAAATGCCGAGTATGAAAGTAATCGGATGCTTATTTTACATATTATGAGAGTTACAATTATTCAAAAATGCCCCATTGTGGGGCAGGTACCAGAAGGAGTGGTCCGATGTATTCCACCTTCACACCTGAAATTGTGTTGATAGAAATATTTAGATGTGCGAAGTATTAAAGTAATCAGATGTTTATTTCGCATATTCTGATATATGATATATATGATATTCAAAAATTTTGACCCGTTGCGGGAGTGTTACCAGAAGGAGTGGTCCGATGTATTCCATCTTTACACCTGATATTGCGTTGATATATATATTGAGAAGTGCCAAGTATGAAAGTAATCGAATGCTCAAATCGCCTTTTATGAGCTTCAAGGTTATTGAAAATTTTGACCCGTTCTGGGGAAGGTACCAGAAAGAGTGGTCCGGCTTATCCGTTTTTCATGCCAGATCTTGTGTGGTTATAAATAATGAGATACGCGAAATTTGAAGATAATTGGACACCTTTTTCATATATTATAAAAATTATTATTATTCATAATTTTGACCTTTTTGGGAGAGGTACTTGATGGAGTGGACCGATATTTACCATATTCACACCTGAGGTAACACTGCTAAAAATATTAGGATATGCAAGGGTTGCCCAACATTCGACGATCCTTTCTTGATCTATGAGGTAAATCTTTTTCTGTCAAAATTTTGACCTTTTGTTTGGTAGGTACCATAAGAAGTGGTCCGATATTGCCCATCTCTGAACTCGTTCAAAGTTTGATAATAATATTACGATATACCTGGTTTGGATCAAATCGGACACTCCCTTCGAGATTTATAAGGGGCAACAGCCAGACAGACAGCAGACGGGCGAAGGAACGTTTATCCCTAGATCGACTCCAAAGGTCCTGAAACGAATTTGGTCCATAGAGACCTAGGGTCTATAACCATTATCCCGATGAGGTACTTTTGGCCGTATCAAATGATATATACCCTCTGTGGCCATATGGCTCAGGGTATAACGAGCAAAGAAACTACATATTTATCAACTTTTTATTGACAGGGATAGCAATTGAAGTAAAAATAATGAAATCTGAAGCTTTGTGGATCAAAACTGAGTGGAACTCAAATATAAAGGCAAATTTGCAAATTACTGAAGCAACAACGACATAGTTCTCTTAAAATGCCTTCATTGAAAGGAGCTTTGTCCAATATTGACTACATTTTCAACAACATTTCTTATAACAATAATAATCTAATAACAATATCTTCGGACCTCCAGTTCTTAATGGAATAAGTTCAATTGAGTTCATAAAAAAGAATTACTTGACTAGTCTGTTTTGAATTTTTATATTTAGTCATAATAACCTGTTAAATAGTTCTTAGAACCAACATAAATCCAGAAATTGCTTGAAAAATTCCTTTCTTTTGCCCGAAAGAAAGACATCGGTGACCCTGAGACACCCCTTTTTTAAATTATTGCAAATAATTATAATTTACGTTGGGTGCCACCTTGTCTTTTTAAAACAACAATAGAAGAAATGGTGTCGAAATGTGTTTCTGAGTAAAATGGTGCGTCCAAAAGTGCTGTTTTGAGAATTAATAATATGTCTGTCTGGGTCCTGCTACCGAAATTCACCTTCATCAAGCATATAATGCAAATAAATGCAACAAAATACCTGTACATAACCCATAAGATTTAATTTGTCAAATTCCAATAGCCTACTTTTAGCTGAAATCCTTAAAAATAAGGTCTATATATGTTGTAGGTATTAAAATGGGAAACTTACAATATAACCATATTCCACAAACTGGATACAAATGCGATCAAACTGCTATGATATTACTTATATCCCAGGTATTCCTTGTATCCTCGTTCAGTGACAAATTTGCAGTGAGATGTAGTTGAAACGTTTCTTTGCAGACACTTTTTTGTAATAATTTTTACACGTTCTGGCCACAAGCCCGGATTATATAAGTGCATAATTAGTTGTAAATCATTTGTTTTATTTTCATTTTTTTCTTTGGGGACAATATTTCTTTGATTATTTTTTATTATCTTTGTTTTTTTGTTAAAACAATAGAGAATTAATTTTGTATATAAATGCAAGAACAATTGTTAGATTTAGAAAAACAATAGTTGATTTATTTTTTATTGGTTGGTGGTTGTTTTTCTTAAATGGGAATGCTCAAAATGTTATTTGCCGTCGCGTTTTTCTTTTTTTGGTAATTTTATTAAAATTCTTTTCAATTGTTTTGCTTTGCTTTGCGTTTTTCTGTTTTGGTGGGGGAAGAAAGATCCGACAATTGCTTAAGACGTCGTTGGCAATGATAATGATGAAGCGTTACTAAAACAATCCGTTGCTATTATGGCTTTGCACGGGTTAAACACTGAAACTGTTTTTAGACAATGAAACGGCATGAACCCCAGCAGTTAACGGTTACATTCACGGAATGATCCCCGTCTGCTGCTGGCTGGCTGGCACCAGGCGCAGCAGCAACAACAATAGACGGAACCAGACTCCACCTACAAAAACAAACAAGCAAACAATGAATAGCAATACAAAGCAAGAAGAAGAAAAGTACATTTTGTACCAACCAACCTACCTATCTACCACACACAGCATAGCAATACATAGCATTCCATGTGCAGATATCAACAACATCGTCGTCGTCGTCATCATCATCCAATCAAGCAACCATCCATCCATGCATTGAAACCTTTATCCAAGGAGTAGTAGTAGTGGAAGTAAGAAATATTAACGCGCCAAACGTTGCTTAACACCCGCATAAATGCCACTTAACAAACAATGCTCAAACTCCAATTCCATTACACACATAGCCTCACACTCGCCTGCACACACACACTAATGCATGAAGGCTAAACCTAACAAGAATTCCAAATCCCCGCAGAAATTTATCCCAACCAAACAAAACAACAAAACAAAAAATACCATAGGAGGCAAGAGAACTCCAAAATGAGACCTTTAACGGAATAATAACAATAAAAAAAGAAAACAAATAAAAAGAAATACAATGCGCACACGCTCTGTGTACTGCTCTCAAATGCCAAGTGGAGTAATGTGTACGAGTGTGTGTCTGAGTGTGGGCTGTTGTTGTTGGTGGTGGAGTGTTGTTAACTAACATTTTGTGCCTTCTCATTGGTCGGATAAAAATTCTTTTCAAATGCATTTGCCTAACACCACCAACACATTTACGCTACATAGAGGAGAGTGCCCTCTGAGAGCAGAGAGTATGTGTGTTAAATACATAACGGGCTTTATTGTTGTACAGTAGCCAAGAGTAGTATTGCTGGGTGTTTGCTTTTGTTTCATTTTTTTGTTAATATAAACCTCCTACTCCCCCGCCTCCTTTTGGCATCATTAATGTGTGTTATGTTGTAGTTGTTTATTGCACCTCATCATCGTCGTTATTATTGTTGTTGTGGTTGTTGTATATTAATATTTATAAAAGACACTTTAATTGATGTACATGTAAATATGTAATACATCTTTCTCATTGAAATGATCCCAATCTTCTTCACTCGTTGTAAAGATGGTCAATTAGCATAGTTGTGCTCCGCTCTTTCTCTCTCCGAGTTTTAATTGCAATGAGTGGGAGAGTTTGATTTGGTGTTTATGTATCCCCATTTCAATTGGGGATATGTGTCTTGATTGAAAATTGTAGTGAAGAGATTTGTAGGGATGCCATTTGGATTAGTTAATTAAATCCATAGAGACTAGACACGTTGTGGACGACAATTTTCAGAGATTATTATGACAGATATCTGAAAAAATAAGTTGAATAAAAGAATTATTAATCAAGAGTAGTATTTATGAAAAAGATTTAGTTTGTATAAAACACTATTTTATTTTAAGAAGTTTAGGGGTTTGATTAGAATTGGGTTAACCAAATCCTTTTTATTAAATTTGAAATGTAGGACTAAGAACCTCGCTTGGGTATAAAAAGTTAACTCGATTCGGGTAGGTTAAACAAAAAGTTAGTCTCGCCATTTACCCTTACCACAATCTATTTTTTTAATACAATGTTAAATTGAAAGTAATTTAAAACAAATTTAACGTTGGGCGCCACACTCAATGTTTGGCAGAATTAAATCTATAGTGTTTTTAAAAGCCTCTGAAGCAAAGTTACAAGAGCACATATTTGAAATTTTCTGTGGTATTTTGAAGCAATGGCTTTGGGCGCCATATGATTTTTTATTGCAGGCAAAAAATTGGAGTGTTTTGACAATCAACGTAGCCGAATAGAATTTTTTCCTGGTAGCCAGTATCTCAATGAAGCTAGTATGAAGGATTCTAATTTGGTTACATTTTAAACATTTTTAACGTTGGGCGCCAAGCCTCTGAAGCTAAGTTACAAGAGCACATATTTGAAGTTTCCATTGGTCTTTTGAAGCAATGGGTTTGGGCGCCATATGATTTTTCATTTTAGGAAAAAAATTGGAGTGTTCTGACAATCAACGTAGCCGAATAGAATTTTTTCCTGGTAGCCAGTATCTCAATGAAGATAGTATGAAGGATTCTAATTTGGTGACATTTTAAACATTTTTCACGTTGGGCGCCACATACTCTTTGTTTGTTTAATTTGCAATTGTAAACAAAATCGTAGGCTTTTTGGAAATCTAATTTCTAATAGTTTATTGGCAAAAGTAGCCCTTATCTAGTTTGAATACTTCGCTACTTCGAATAGGTTAATGGAACATTCACGTTGGGCGCCACTTCTTATAACCTCAGCCATATGACTAGCTTCATCGAAATAGCGGTTTTAGACCTAGGTCTCTTTGGGCCAAATCCGTTTCAGGACATTTGTAGTCGATTTAGCGATTTCCTTTCGCCCATCTGGCTGACTGGTGCGCACGATAACTTTATAAGGGATTATTCGATTTTGTTCAAACATGGTATAACGTCATATTATTATCAAACTTAGATCGAGTTCGAAGATGGTCAATATCGGTTCACTCCTTCTCGTACCTCCCCCACAAAAGGTCGAAATTTTCAAAAAGTATTTTACTGCACAGAAAGAGAAAGAATAATCCGATTTTACTCCAAGGTCAAGTGCGAAAATGAATGATATCGGTCCACTCCATCAAGTACCTCCCCCACAAAGGGTTATAATTTTGAAAAATTGTAACTCGCATTAAATGTGATGTAAAAGCCCGATTGTCTTCAAATTACACACATCACAATATCTTTATGAACCCAAGTTCTGGTGTGAAGATTGAATATATCAGTCCACTACTTCTGGTACCTCCCTCGCAAAATGCAGATTTTTAATATCCATGAAGCTCATAAAAAGCGAATTTAACATCCGATTCCATTCCAGACTTGGTACATCTTAATATTTCTATCAACACAAGATATGTTATAAAGATGGTAGAGGTCGGACCATTTCTTCTGGTACCTCCCTCACATAGGGTTCATGATTTTGAAAAACGAAATTCGAAAATTCAGGTTCTTCATAAAGAAAATGGCCATATATTCACCTAACGCAGTTTTTGGTGTATAATCTCATAATTTCCATAAATGTTCTTATGATCCGGTACAACTCCTCTTCCAGGTTTTCGTTCCAGAGCCGGCTACTGAAATTTCGGCTTGGCCATTCGAAAATCCACATTCTTGATAAGAAAAGTGAGCATTTTTTAAAAACGATTCTCTTTTCCTGGTGAGAATACTGCATAACTATGTGTGTGGCTTCAATTAGAAGTTGATGGTACAGGGTGAAGAAGACTTGATTAATTTCTCACTCTGAGCAGATTTCTGTGTAAGACAAAATATTGGAAGAATATTTCAGATGATAAAAAAGTGTTGTGTTGAAGAAAACACACAACAATGCCAAAATGCGTCAGAGGGAGAGAAGTAAAGTTTGGCTATCCCCCCTTCCCCCTTCCTCCACTACTCTCATATCACCTCCAATATGGGGAAAAATATTTGGTACTCCAATCTATCAATGATTATTTTAATGGTTTGACAGGGTGAAAAAACTGTTAATCTTTACGACCTCCCAGTGTGAGCACCAATTAATTGCGTAAATTATCCACCAAAAAAGCGAAGAAAAAATACAATCTTGGAAATAGTTTTGAAGACGAACATAGAAACACACACAGACAGACGGAAGGACGGACGGACGAAGCGATGCGACCAAACCACCAACAAGTCACACTTTGTGTGTTATGACTTGAGCTTTACTTTAAATATGTTTATGGGTAATTTGTTTAAACAATAATCATAATATGTTACCCCAAAAAATCAGCTTGGTATCGTTTTTTTTTGTTTTTTTGTTGGTGCTGAGGTATTTTTTTGTTGTTGTCTGGCTGTCTGTCGAGAAAATGGTATGATGCGCGATTTCCAGCGTAGTTGAATCACGGTTTTGATTAATTTGTGGCGTCTCTAACATTGACAGCTATTAGTCATAGAAAATAGTTAAATTGTGTGAGGTTTCTGTTGGGGTCACTACATTAGGTCAACATGGGCACGTGTTAGAGGTGACTCTGATTCGTTCCGTAGATATAGAATAAAAATACATTTTAAATAAATCTTGCTTTTTGAGAAACCAATAATTAGACGAAAAATCCAGTAGTTTATGAAAGTACAGCTAAAGATAGGAGACACGTGTATCGGCGTTTTGAAAGTTTACTTCGCAAAGTAACCTAAATGGAGGGGTAAGTTCCCCTCTTCCGCACCTTCAGAAATTTCCGCATTAAGATTCCTTAGAAATAATTCCGGTAAATACTGTCGCTAAAAGATGGACAGACAGACGGACGGAGCAATAGATCGTCTATGGGCGCTAGATCGTCTCAGAATTTTACGCTGATCCAGAATATATAGGGTGAGACAAAAAACTGCAACAAAGTCAAACGCCATATTTTTCTATCGATCGAAAGCAAAAAATGTCGGAAATAGCATAAAATGTTAGAATAAGTTTAGATTTCTTCGAATTGGTCACTTTTGGCCTTCAAACGGTCACACGCTGCCCGAATGTTGCTCTGCGGTATTTTGGCCCATTCCCGGCGAAGCGCTTGTTTGAGGTGATCGACACTTTGGTATTTTTTTCGTGCCAACCTTTCTTTCCAAAATACTTCAGACACAATTTTCCAACGGATTGGTATCCGGAAATTTTGGGGGCCATTGTGCGCTGGAAATGGAGCGAGGAACCTCATTTTGTTACCATTCTTGGGTGGCGCGTGCTGAGTGCGATGGTGCAGATTCCTGTTGGAATTTCCATTATGACCTACACAAATACCAATTTTCAGACAAATCCGTGAAAAATGTGGCAAAAATCATCAAATTACCGATTATCGGGAGGTATCGTTATGTGGGGGCTTTACCAAAACGTGGACCTATAATTACAATGACTCGCCACACGAACTGGGACCCATTATGATCTACAATTACCAATTTTCAGAGAAATTCTAGAAAAAATGTGTCAAAAACCATCAAAATACCGAATATTGGCAGGTACCGTTATATGGGGACTATATCAGAACGTGGACCTATACATACAATGTTTCGCCACACGAACTAGGACCCATTATGACCCACAAATACCAATGTTTAGACAAATCGGTGAATAAATATGACAAAATACCGAAT